AAGGCAGTGACAGCTCCAGAACCACCAGGTCTGTCATCTTGTACATTAGGAATCTTCTGCATTTGGATTTGTTTTTTTTTTTTCCTAGTAAATCAAAGCAACTGTGTAAAAGCTAGGGGTGAAAATGATTACAATTGCTTCCAATTGATTAACTTGATCAATATCTTCTCACTGTTTTTACTGTTGCACAGTCAATTGCCACATGACCAGTGCACTTCCCGCTGTCAGGACTTCCGTGCCTCCCTGCAAAGCCATGGAGCCACAGCCCTGAGTTATCAGCAAAGTCTGTCCCACAGTGATGGGATTTATGATGTGCCACAACCTTGTGCCGCTGATAAACACTGTGTACTGAGCACAGGACATATCCCAAACAGATTGCCTCTGCATGTGTGCACGTATGAAGTGAAGACACTGAATTCACAATTCATGTGAAGAGACTGGATATCCAGGTCATGTGTCAGCTGGCGCACAGCACTGGAATTACACACGGGATGGGAAGTCATTTAGCAGGGAAAGTCCTTGAAACGTTTGCTGATGGAGATGGCACAAGCTGATTTCCATCAGGAACAGCAGCTGTAAAACCCGCTGTGCAAAACCCATAAAACTGCTGTTTAGCTGACATTAGAAGGACGTGTGTAGAGAGTTTGAGACATTAGATAATACCTGGTTTTACTTTTGCTGTGCACATCTGTTGTAGGTATTTTACTTTTCTTTCTTTGGAGGTTTCCTAGACTGTGCTGATTCATCTTTGGGAAAGACTTTCAGCATCCTGTCCAAAGTGTGTTCAAGTAAATTAAGAGATTTCCCCACTTTCCCCCAAATGTTTTGGACCATAGCTGCAGCACTGTAATGTTTACTGCTAGCCTATACAACAGTAAAAAGCGTAGAACCAATTTTCAGTGCTAGCCACAAAGTGCCTGTACCAGCACAAAAAAAAGGATGGTACACAACCCCAGGAGCCAATGCTCTCAGTTTTCAAAGACATAAATGACCGAAGAGCTCAGTCCCACCACTCAGAGCTGGCAGGGAAAATAACACCTGATTCCCACCAACAGCTTTGAAAACCTCTCTGTAGGAAAACAGAGCAAACAGAAAGGGAAGTAAAAGGAAAATAGTAAATAAGAACAGATGATAATGGGTCATGCCTGGTTATTTAGACCCTCATTTTCATGTATACAGTGGTCTTTTAACCACTTCTGCAGCGCAAAGGGATTTCCACACGCATGATGGTGAGTTTCACATAATACTTTTTTTTTTTGCACTGCATCTATAGTCCTGTCTGCAGTATAGTATTAAAATGCATGATTAAAGTCACTTCTGCCTAAATAATTGATGTAATAATACTGTGGGCAATGTGAAAAAATGTGGACGTTAGTTTCGATAAACTTTCCTGTAGCTGTATGTAGCTTTGAAGGTGTCTTTGTCACTTGATTTTGTGAAACTGCCTTACTCTGTAGGTCAATTAAATGTAATAAAACAGTCCTGTTTTTTTTTTTTTTTGTTAGGAAAAACAGCACTATAAGTACTATAAGAATCACTTGGAGATTTGCTCTTCTATGGAGTGTTCCTGTGTTTAAAATTGAAATAAAAGCCTCATATACGTGTGTGCATGGGCGAGTGTGCATATATTTATCTGTATGCATATATATATGTATTCATTTATGTGTGGAGATAACTACCTGGAGATGTTTGTAGCTAGATCTCAATCATATCATTTTAAACAATTATTGGCTTTCTTCCTCACTCTTCACAGGTATATCAATTTATAAAATAAAACACTTTCAGGCACTGCTTTGAAGTGTTAGTGATCTCAAAATGATATGCTTATGTTCAGATGTTGTTGTCTTAAGAAGTCCTAACCTATGTAATTCTATATACTTTCTAAAAAGCTTTTTTTTTTTTTTTGATGCATTGCTTTAATTCACTGCTCTATTAATACAAGTGTGCTAAATATATCATAGAATGACACAGATATAGAAAGACTCCACACAGGATTGAGTTTTGGGCTCAGTAATACTGATAAATATCTGCAGTTATTTTGAATTTATAATGAAGAACTCTCCTTAATGGTGTTGTACAAGTCCATGCAGAGCAACTTGCTGGTAATCTAGCAGCTGAAGCATAGATTTCTTTCTTGGTGGGAGTTCCATCATGTGCATTTTAAGAAAAAAATGATGATGGGTCTCAAAGGCCTGGAAAAAAATCATTTTGAAAACTAAACTTTTCAGGAGCTAGAACAATTCAAAGTACCACAATATTTTCCAAAATTTTTGGAGGAAAAGTCATCTCAAAAATATGGCATAATTTCAATATGTTACTGCATTTCAATGATCAAAGGCTTTGGTTAAAGATAAATACCAGGCATAATCATCAGAACCTCAAGAATGCTGCTTGCAGAGGTGTTGAACCTTGGCTTGAGGAGTGGATCAGTCAGCTTAGGAGGTCAGAATTAGCAGAGCAGACCTGACCAGTTCTTTGGGGGTAATGAGATGCTAGTATGGCCAAACCACACATCAAGCATGTAGCATTTAATCTAAATCTCAGACGATCTCAGTTAACCTTTATCAGATTCTTGAATCAGGCCTACAATAAAGGGATTACTAATACATTTTTCAATGTTAAAAAGCCCTAGAATTTGCATTTTTAAGCTCCTGCTGTTGTTGTATTTCAAAGAGTGGATAGGCATTTCTAAGATGCATTTCAATCTCATGGAGTCAATGCTTTGATACAAAGATCTTGTAAAACCTTATTTTTACCATGACTGCATTATTGGTCAAGTCATGTTTTACAATAGTCCACCTTAACTGAGCCAGATAAACAAAATGCAGAATTCCCAGGTGAGCCGGGAGTAAAAATAATATAGCAATGCTTGGATGGGTAAAATAATTTTAATATATGCAATCGATGTTCAGAAATGAGTATAAAAGGAGTGTGGAAACTACAGTGGCTGTTGCTGCCTGCTTCAGAACTTAAGTTCCCCTTCTGTTGTCTACACTTTTTTCTAAGTAATACTTGACTGAATTGTATTATACATGGCTCTGAACACCAAAGACGCTCCCAGCACAATGTGTTTGAATTTGCCTTAAGAAGAGGTAATCACTTATCTCACATCTTCAAAGGGTTCACTTATCTATACTTACTTGAAAAGTGAATATAAATTGGAATGCTGTTATAAAGCAACATCAGAATGACTGGATGGTGCGAAACAAATGGGGAGCTGACTGTGAGCACGGAAAGCAAGATGTAGCAATGAAATACTTTCCTGGTGCTATCAATGATGAGAAACTGAAATTACATGATTTGGAAGAAAGGGTTACAAGGACAGTGGTTTCATATTTAAGGCGGAACATATGGGTCCAGCACAAGAATAACACTTCTAAATACTTCCAAAGTTCTTGACCGGGGAGATGAAGTAGATTGCTGAATAGTCTCTCAATCAGTGATATGTCTCACTATTTGGGTCATTTAATTCTGAGAGGGAAGGTAACTTGGCTTAATGCATGAAAACTCCATCCCAGGAAAAGCCCAAACTTTTGTTTTTTTCTCCTTGAGAATAACCAAGCAAACCTGAACATAAAAAAATCCACTAAGTCTCTGTGGCATGACTCCCTTCATGTACACTTAATATTGTAACACTTGGTGTTTGACATCTCTCCTTGTTATGTCCCTGCTTTGGTTGAAACCTGCACCAGTAGCAATAAGGACCAAAGCAAGGAAGAAAGCAAAGGAAAAGACAGAATTAAAAGAAATAATGCTCTGCAAATGCTACCAGTAATAAAAATAAGACAAAAACATATATGATGAAAAGGAAAGAGAAGAAAAGAAGCACTGTTCAAACTCAGCATCACCAAAATGGTTTTCTTTTTTTTTTCTTCATAGATGTCAGTGGCAAATACAAGATGTCAAAATTCTAATGAGTGTTAGCAAGGACACCAGAAGTCATCAGTGCAATACACACCCAAAGGTGATTTAAATTGCAGAGGACTGTGCACATTTCACAGCTTAAAATAAACTGTGGCTTTGCAAGAAGGGCACAGTCATGACTTTGCATATCTTATGTGGGTTTTATGGTGTGTTAGTAGCTAAACTCGCTATAAAAAAAAAAGGGTTTTTGTTTTAAAAGCTTATAAAGCACGATTCATAGGAGGGGTCGATGCCTACACAATTCTTAATCAACTTTTAGAGGTATTCATGCAGATGCAGATGCAGGTGCCAGCTTTTTCCCACAAGAGCTCTGGTACATCATTTACAGAGTCTCCGTCGCTCCTCAGGAACTTAAATTTTCTTTTAAGCTTGGGTCATTGTAGCTAGGGTCACTGCTAAATCCAGGTCTCAAGAATGCACAATACTTTTCACTTTTGGTTAGTCACCATCACTTCAAACCAGCATTCCTCTTTTGATGTAGTGTTTGGTCAGCTGGTTTTTGCAGCGTGCTTTTCCCCCTCAGTGAACGTACTAGACAGCCTAACTAAGCTTTGTGTAGGATTCTGCATTTTACAGTCAGGCTTCAGGGATGCTAAACTTAAGAGTAAGGAAACAGTAATTAAAAGTGATTGGGACAAGAAGCCTCGATACTACGAAATGTGGACTCAACAGTCCTTGACACAGGCAGAACGAAGCAGCAAGATTTGGTTTTGATTATAGCTTTACTTGCGATTTTAATAAACATGAGCCAGTATTCAAACTTTTAATATCCTGCTGCTTAACTATTTCCAAAAAGCAATCCAGTTCTTTTAAACAGCCCTTGTTTGAAAATTTTAATTTGTTTGGCTCTGTCCCTGCCTAGAGAAGTTGTAGCCTCTCGGTAACTCTTTTATAAGTTCACTTCCAGAATCACAAGCAATCTATTTTTTTCAACTAAGTGTTTCCGCATGTGCCAAAAGTGTCAGGCTGACAGCTTTCCTGCACCGTTTTATCTGGTTCCCACAGTAAGTATGAGAGACAAACGCAGGAATGTGTCTAGCGCTGACTATGCCCATCAAGGATACAATGATACTTACAGCTCTTCCAGGAAGCGGAGATTGTGCACGGGGTTCGAGGGCAGCTTAGTAATGTTGTTCATACTGAGATCACTGTAGGGGAAAACAGACAGAGACTTAATATGGCATGTCACAACTGTGGTATCCAGCTGTTCATTCCACACATTTTTAAGTAACACATTAACAAAAATTAGTTCCTCTGCCAGAACTGATGAATCATTATCTAGTTAGCACTTTAAACATTCTACTTTCGTATGAAAATGGCTTTGTCAAAGCAATACAAGCTATTGCATGTTCCTTATTTCCAAAAAAAATTTGGAATGTTTTATCACTCTCCATAAATCAGCTGGAATACTAAACAACCCTTTTAGGCTACATAATTTTAATAAACCGCTGTACTATATTAAAATTTATTTGGAGTAGTAAAGGAAAACTACTCTGATATTCATTGTCGTTGCACTGTAGCATACCGTAGGTTTACTAAAGCAGACAAGCAAAGCTGCACAGGTGCAAACTATTTGCATGATTTCACGAGCATGGAAAAATAATGCTTTTGCTGTACAACTTGCTGAATGAGCCTACTGATGTTCCGTTTGTCACATTAGGTGTCCCCAAAACCCAACTCACTTGTGTTAAATAAGGGACATATTTTCAAAAAATAAACATTGCCTTTCTAAGAGTGCTCTTTTTTTGCAGGTTCTCAAATTGCATTAAATAAGTGAAATGAACCATAAAACAAGGGTGTAATGTGATCCTTCTCTGTAGCACACTTCCTGGTGGGGTTCCACAGTAGTTCCTGGCACAGGAAACAACCAGCCATATCAGCTCTGTCAGAGCTCATTCAGGCTATGGTTCAGGCTACAATTCATACAATAACTGCTTATTCTGAAGGTGTTTCTTCATTTTTTCCTATGTCTTGCCCAGTACTATCATTACGATTGACTTGCGTTAGGAGTAAAAACTGTAAACAGACTGCATAATAAAATTCTACACGGAAGATAAAACTTATACAACTATGTCAAAATTACTATAGATGCTGTTAAAATACAAATATCAGAGGACGGCATATTTTATGCAATGTTATGTGATCATTTTAATAAAGCAATATGAACATACATACTTGAAAACACACTTGAAGGTTCTAGCGGCTTTGGACAGTATTTGAATAACCTTATTTCTTCCAGCTGTTGAGAGCTCATAAGGTAGATAAGTTATCTGTATTTCAGTGGGTAGGCATCCTATTCCTATTCCTATTCCTATTCCTATTCCTATTCCTATTCCTATTCCTATTCCTATTCCTATTCCTACTTCGGTTCTGTTCCATTTACTTTCTATTATTCACAGGCTGTTTCATACTACAGAATTATTTTAATCAGCATTGTTAATTTTGATGTTTGGTCTTTTTCTGAATTTAAAAATGTGTAATTTAAAAACACTTCACGTAGAGATTAAGAAATAAAGGGAATTTGTTAATACTTCACAACAATTATCAAATCACTCTTGGGTTAGGTTTCTCTGCATCCACTTCAAAATCAAAGTATAATTTCAGAAATGCATTTACTAAATTCATTCTTTACTGTAATACTTTACCACCTAATTTTTCCATACAGTTTAGCAGGTTATTAGCCTTTCACTTTGATAAATACTCAAAGAATTTATTCTCACAGAGGAACAAATACATGGATTTATTTGGCAAAAGCAAAACTCGCTCAGTGAATCATATAGTACTGAATATGAAGACAACAACGGTATTTTAACATGGTTTCATAGTGGGATTTCAACATTTATCCTAATGGGTTTTTGTAAACATACCAAAACACATTTTAGACCCAAAAAGCCAGAGATAATGGAAGGTGAGAGTGATTCTTCTTCAAACAGGCAAGTATTTAGGGCACTCTACAAACAACATTAATCATAATCTGGGTGACTGACTAGGAAAATCTGAAATCTATTCTTATAGTACATTAGTTTATATTAGTAGTAAGCAGGACTTGTCTGATATCCCCAAGATCCCATATCTCTGAACTACCGATCCCCACTCAATAACATCTTTCACAGGCAGTCTGCAGACCAGACTCACTCTATTATCTGAAGAGGATCAGATCAAAGGACCACTTTGATTACATGCTTTGATGAACAATCAGAAAATCAGCAATATACATTTTATTAAAAGCATCTTTAGATCCTGGAGGTGGATTTACAGAAAGCACCACTCATGCCTACTCTTTGGTCTCCAGAAAAGTTCACTGAGCATCGATGAATATCAACAGGGGCAATTATTTCTGCATAGAGGAATTCAGTGCCACACCTTTGCTTCATACACACTTCCATGTCAGACGGCATTGTGTCAGACTGCCCTTCTGCTGCCATCTGTCACACAGCAACAACATGGAATGAAATACTGATGGGAAGATTCAACCTGTATTGCCATATCTCTAACATTTACCTCTGATGTCCTGGGCCAACATAATAAAGTAGGAGGGATTACTTTCAGAGCAGCCCTTGTGTGTCAGTATAAGTATGTGCATTTTTAACATTTTTCTCATAAACAAAAATTTTTTCCTGATTTTTTCAATAATGCCTTTCCAAGCTCATTTTTAACACACTGCTAACTCACTAATACACTGATTACTGCAGTCCATGTTGTCAGTATGTTATTCTTGCAGCCTTAATGGTTTCAGAATCTCAGAAAGACTACTGCTGAGAGAGGTAATATCTTCTCATTAGGCAGATAGAGCTGGAAATACTTATAAACTTTCAAACACAAGAATCAAAAACCTCTGCTTTTCCCAACTGTACCAACTGGCTGATTAGATGACATTATTTCACTCGTATAAACCTTACATCACTTGCACTGCAGTAATTCATCTGCACTTATGGTTCCTAGATTCAGAGTACTCTTTTGGGTCAGAATCACCATGGATGCATTTCATCCAATTTCATTTGCGGAAGGAATTAAGGGACTTAGAAGTTCCATGATCCAAAGCTACTTCTGGAGTGAAGCTAAGAGAAGTGAGACAATCATGAAGAGTTAATGTAATGCAACCAGTCATATCTCGTGTGAGGATCACACTGTAAAGTTTCTGCTGCTGAGCAGAAATTCTTCATACTGTTCTAAAGACAAAAAATGGAGGTTCTCAGTAAACTTGCCATTCTTTGGACCATACTGCCAAGAATACCTGGTGCTGAAACAGGCTGCCCAGAGAGGTTGTGGATGCCCCGCTGGAGGTGTTCAAGGCTCATCAAGGTTGGATGGGGCACTGGGCCCCAGTATTAAATGTGGAGGTTGGTGGCCCTGCCTGTGGCAGGGGGCTTGGAGCTTCATGATCCTCAAAGTCCTTTCCGACCCAGGCCATTCTGTGATTCTGTGAAGACCTATCTAGGATGTGATTTATGACCACTAGATAGATCAAGCACAGCTAACAACCAGGAAGAGCAAGCTGGTAAATTGGAGGCTTACAGATTATGACTATAAAAAGTGCCCTGCAAATGCAATGATTTCTTTCAGAAAAGCACATCAAACAGGTTTTCTGATTTCTCCTTTCAGGGCTAGCCTGTCAAAATCAGTAACTTGCTCTTACTGGAAAACTTAAGGGGATTAAACGTGGCTTGTACATTGGGATTTGCGCTGTAATGTTGAGAAAATATTGAAATCAAGGTACTAAGTCTCTTAACCATCCCCAGAGGAACTATTCTGTTTCTGTATCAAATCCATTTCCCAATTTGCCTTGTGTGCTTGTGCATATATACTCAGCAGAAGCAAAACAGTTGAAACTGCAATCAATTCTTATCCAACTCAGTAGTCTTACAAGCTACTGTGATGAAAAAATTATTAGTGTATTGAAAAATCCTTAATGAGTTGATAGACACAACCTTTCCTGTATTCCACCATCAAATTACCTGAAAACTTCACTGATGTCAGTAAGGAGCTGCATTGTTTAAGGTATGTGCTGAGTTTTAAATTGCTCCTATTGTATAGCAATAGTATCAAATCAACGTATGTGAAAATTAAGCTCAGCATGAGCTTAAGAACTGTGCTAGAAAGGCGGTAGGTTATTCTGAATAATCAAATGAGCATATCGTCTCTTTTTCCATTAGCATTCCGACAGTCTATTTCCAACTGCTGTTTCTAAAAGCAACATACCAGCAAATGATAATTCCATCTTTTCAGAAGATAAAGATTTGCTTCACTGACTGCACTCGCAACATGGCTCATTATAATGATATCTTAATTATACTCTGTGCCAATCAATCACCAGCTGTGTCTCTGGTGACTTGAGAAAGGAATCCTACCTGTCATTTAATTGTCAGGTGCTTCTGCAGCAGATTATTTTTTTGAAGAACAGAAAATACTGCAAATTGCAGCCTGTGTCTATTTTTTTTTTTTTTTAATTGGTGATGCTATGAACAAACTACGAACATTTGCAAAACAGAGCTCAGAAGGGTAAATACACAGGTCTTTCCCCCCATCCAGTTTTGTTGTCCACACATACATAAGCTGGAAAAAATATGCAGTTATCATCTTAAAGTGAGTAGTTCACAGTAAACTCTCCGAAGCCAGTAAAACAAGTTAAGTGAACTAGTTCTTAACATATGACAGTAGGGTCTGGAGGCCAAGTTACTAACCTGTTATTAGCTATTATTACAAGAGATGTTTCAGGGACTATTCACCTTGGAATCAGTTTTCTACATTGTTCTTATGCCCTTTAAAGGAGAACAAAAATCCATCTTCGGACATATACAAGTTTTCTATTGGCTTCCACCAACCTATTCATCTATTACTTGGTGATGCTTCTATTATACTAAATAGTACAAACTTCTCTACCCATCACAGGGCTAATACAATAATCCAGGATGAAAGACAATGAATTTTGTAGTCTATAATTTTTTAACAGTTATAATTTAATTTTTAAAAAATGGTCAAGCCTTACTATTATGATTGCTTTCTCTAGGCCTGCCTTGCCCCAACAAGATGTATTAATAATTATTTTTATGGCAATCTTTGAAAGAGAAAGCACTCACATAAAAGTACTGACAATAAACTGAATAATTGAGTTCTTACCAGCTGAGAACAGCTTCTAAAGTCAGGCCAT